GAAACTATTTGCGGGAAAATTTCTTATCTCACGATCTCTGCGCGGTGTTAATTACTTTGGTCCATAGCTCAATTATGACCAGACTATTGAAGTTTTTAGATATTTATCAAATATCTATCGATGCCTACAAGTATGAAACTATTTGCGGGAAAATTTCTTATCTCACGATCTCTGCGCGGTGTTAATTACTTTGGTCCATAGCTCAATTATGACCAGACTATTGAAGTTTTTAGATATTTATCAAATATCTATCGATGCCTACAAGTATGAAACTATTTGCGGGAAAATTTCTTATCTCACGATCTCTGCGCGGTGTTAATTACTTTGGTCCATAGCTCAATTATGACCAGACTATTGAAGTTTTTAGATATTTATCAAATATCTATCGATGCCTACAAGTATGAAACTATTTGCGGGAAAATTTCTTATCTCACGATCTCTGCGCGGTGTTAATTACTTTGGTCCATAGCTCAATTATGACCAGACTATTGAAGTTTTTAGATATTTATCAAATATCTATCGATGCCTACAAGTATGAAACTATTTGCGGGAAAATTTCTTATCTCACGATCTCTGCGCGGTGTTAATTACTTTGGTCCATAGCTCAATTATGACCAGACTATTGAAGTTTTTAGATATTTATCAAATATCTATCGATGCCTACAAGTATGAAACTATTTGCGGGAAAATTTCTTATCTCACGATCTCTGCGCGGTGTTAATTACTTTGGTCCATAGCTCAATTATGACCAGACTATTGAAGTTTTTAGATATTTATCAAATATCTATCGATGCCTACAAGTATGAAACTATTTGCGGGAAAATTTCTTATCTCACGATCTCTGCGCGGTGTTAATTGCTTTGGTCCATAGCTCAATTATGACCAGACTATTGAAGTTTTTAGATATTTATCAAATATCTATCGATGCCTACAAGTATGAAAATATTTGCGGGAAAATGTTCTTATCTGCTATCTGTGAATTATGTTGTTAATTGCTTTGGTCCATGTTGTCGTAGATGATAAGGGTTAAAACGCGGATACGGACGGACGGACGGACGGATGACCTATTTTGTTTCTAAAATATGCTTTAATTAAGGGACTGGTCATAATTTATCAGGGGTGGGGGGTGGGGAGGTGTAATTCAAAATTTTAAGGAATGATATTTTGTGACCCTGCTTTGCCATAACCCGGAAAAAGTAATGCCTCCCCCCTCTCTCTCACTTTTGTCAGTAAAAATGTACCTACCTACTACTAAACCCTACATTCAATACATTTTCTAATTGCACTTTAAATTTTCTAATTTTCTAGTTGCGCTTTAAATCAAATACTAAAATTTAAATTATACCAATACATAGTCATATAAAACTTTTCATTCTAAGTTTAAAGAATAAATTTTTTTCAATGCAACTCAAACAAAATGTGAGAAGGCATGTGTAAAACAATTAATTGAACTAAAACAGCAGACCCCCTCCCCGCCTTCATAAACTGTCTAATATTTTATAAACCCCCCTTTTTCCTGGCTAAAAAATATGTGAACCCCCCTCCCCCCCCACTGTTTCCACCTCCCCACCACTCCTGCTAAATTATGACCAGTCCCTAAATATCATATATTTGGAAAAAAATTGATCATCCGTCCGTCCGTATCCGCGTTTTACCCTAACCTTAGATGATGCAGCAGATTATTTCGTCTCATAATCTATATCGATGCCTAGGCATGGCTTACATTTCTGGAATGTGTCAATCTCACCGAAGGTGTAGCATTGCTGAAGACACCGGCCTGGATATCGCTTTAACAATAGCTCACGAACTTGGACACAAGTATGTTGAAACTTTGCTTATCAGTTTTAAGGCTGGAGTTTACGCTATCAAAGTTTCTGTGATCACAGTAGGAATTTTGTATCGGTAAATTGAAGAATTGAAGAATTTCTACGAAATGTTTGAGGGCCATTGTCAAGGCCCATTCACTGGAGAAAAAATGAAAATCCATATAGAAGGCCATACAATGGAAATTATATGAACCTTCATTGGAAATAGAATGGATTTTGATTATCCATAATAATTGTATATTTCATACTATGGATGTAGTATCGAAATAGTATGGATATACACCGTGGATTTAGTGGTGCAATAGACAACTTGCATGTTAGACAAATTTTTGATCTAGCCGATCTAGGCACAAAAAAAGTAAATTCCCGTTAAGAACTTGTTAAAATTAGTAAACTTGCAAAATTTGGTTGCGAAATGTTGTAAAGCTTGGGGAATATAGCTTTGCAAAGTTTTCATATTTTCAGTATATTTGTATTACGTGCGGAAATTGTTACCATTTTTGAGCCGAAAATGGTAACAATTTCCGCTCGTAATACAAATATACTGAAAATTTGCAAACTTTGCAAGGCTATAGTTTCTAAGCTTTACAACATTTCGCAACCAAGTTTTGCACTTTTACTAATTTCAGTATGTTCTTTTTAGCTGTGGTGTTTAATTCCCTTTTCTCTGCTTAGATTAAAATTTAGTCTAACATGCAAGTTGTCCATTGCAAATTTCATAGTATGGATTTCACTTTTTTCCAGTGATTTGCACTCAAGAAAAATTTTCACGGACAGAAAATGTTCCGAAAATATCATTGTTAAAAGTTGAAAATTTTCAACTTCAAAATTTTTTTCCGACGGGAAATTTGTGTCGGCCAATGACATTTTACAAAATTTTCTTTCTGCGGAAAATTTTCCTGAGTGGAAATGGGCCTTTTTAAAAACACCAACCGATACTTTTCCCACCCCAGTCTGTTGTTAGTATTATAACTTTATTACACTGGATATCTCTTCCAAGTCTTTCTATTGGCCATCCAACCTGTATTAATTAAAGCCACAGTTCAGCCTTTTGAAATGATTGTTTTTAAGGCGCATTTCAGCCCTTTTAATGGACCTATTCCCTAATGAACAAAATTTTGATCGAGACAAGTCTAGGCAAACATTTCATCACAGCTTGACAGAGCATCACAAAATTAGTAATATTCCGAAGTTTCGTTGCGAAATGTTGTAAAATGCGGATAATATAGCCCTGCGAAGTTTGCCGTTTTTCAGTCATTTTGTATTACGCGGGGAAATTGATACCTTTTTTTCAGAAAGCGGTATCAATTTCCCTTGCGTAATACAAAATGAATGAAAAACGGCAAACTTCGCAGGGCTATATTATCCGCATTTTACAACATTTCGCAACGAAACTTCGGAATATTACTAATATTGTGATGCTCTTTCAAGCTGTGATGAAATTTTTGTCTACACTTGTCTAAATCAAAATTTTGTTCATTAGGGAATAGGTCCATTGAGAAAACTAACTAGGAAAGTCAATTATGCATAATTCAAGATCAGTAAACTCAATGTTTTTGACAATAAAAATGTTTTAAAATATTGAAAACATTAAGTTTGCTGATCTTGAATTATGCTTAATTGATTTTCCTATAGTTAGTTTTTCCAATTAAAAGGGCTGAAATGGCCTTAAAAACCATCATTCAAAAGGCTGAACTGTGCCTTTAATTCAGAAAAACCCTGCGGTACTTGAAAGCACTTTGCTCACATGAAGCGGAATTATAATCAGGTAAAAGGTAAATTGAAAAAACATTTCAATTTTTTTCTCTTTGCAGTCTTGGTATTCGCCATGATGGTTATGGCAACGAATGTGCAGATCAAACACGTGACATTCCACACGTGATGGCGTCGTTGTCATTAAAGGCAAACAAGCGAGGTTTATCCCAATGGTCAAAATGTAGCAAGAGAATGATTCTCAATTATCTTAGGTAGGAGGAGTTCTGTTTGACTGCGTGTTGACTGTAACACCCCCCCCCCTGCTCTTTAGCGTGATTTAAATTTAAACTGCATGGAATTGTGGCCGTAGGCGGGGGGGGACTTAAAGCGTAACTGCATAATGAATGAATTAGGCGACAATCGACGATATATGTACGATGGCAACTGATCATGCTTGCTAATAAGCCTGAATCTAAATAGGTACAATACATTTCGAAAGATTTGAATATCACATATATAATTAGCCATTCCGAAGTTGATGAGTGGACTGGGACGAGTGTTAAAAAGTGCCCAAATTAAGAAATGAACCGAATCACTAAAAAGACCACCTCAAAATTAGTAAGTATACAAAGTTTGAAGACATTTACATGAATACTCTTCGAATAATAAGCTCTCGAAAATCGCGATATTTACGATGAAATGTACTGTAATTTTTGTTTTTTGGGACGCGCGTCTCAGAAACAATCTTTTAATCAGTAATTTCACAATTTTCGAAAGCTTGTTATTCGAAGGGTGTTCATGTAAACGTCTTCAAACTTTGTATACTTACTAATTTGGAGGTGGTCTTTTTAGTGATTGGGTTCATTTCTTAATTTGGGCACTTTTTAACACTCGTCCCCAGTCCACTCATCAACTTCGGAATGGCTAATTGCGCCACTAAATCCATAGTGTATCCATACTATTTCGATATTATATCCATACTATCGAAATGTACAATTATTATGGATAATCAAAATCCATTCTATTTCCAACGAAGGGGGGTAAAGACCTACCTAAAATGATCATGTTTTGTAATTTGCTTTCAGAAACAAACCAGAAACAAAAATTATCATTGTTTGTGACTCGTTCTTTAGAAAGACGATTTCTATATATATTGTTATAAGCAACAATAATTTCTATATTGTTATAAGCAACCAACCACGAGCCTGGATAGTATAGGTTGATGATGACCCAATGAAGGTCCATACAATTTCCATTCTATGACCTTCAATGGATTTTCAAAATTTTTTCCCAGTGAGCTTCGCCATTGGCCGATTAGGTTTATGAGAGAATTTCACGAAGCACTATCGTGCAACACTTGGTTGTCAAGATGTTGTATAGAGTGAGAAAAATTTGTTTTTTCATTGTGTATATAGTTTTGTATTTGAAGGCAAATTAATAAAAGAGAGATGTACTGTATCAACATTTCTGACCGAACTAACCTTTCATTTTGGTGATCCCCAATCATCAGTCTACATCCTTTTGCCATTCCGTCTTTATATAATGTCTTCAACAAGACCTATTTTCTTTTTAGAACCTCCGACAGTTGGTGTTTAAAGGAAACCCAAGGTGAAACAAGCATTCCTCTTCCTACTACGCTTCCTGGAGTAACATTCAGTGCCGACGACCAGTGCAAACACCAGTATGGGAACCTCGCTAGACAATGCAAGCGGTATAAAGTAAGTCAAATGATAAAGCGAAACAAACTAAACTAAGGGGATGTTTACATGGTATACCGCTTTGCCTGGACGGGTGAAAAGTGGAATGATTTTGATCGACATTGAAATAGGTCACGATTCAGCAAAATTTCGTTTACTTTTATGTACTGCAGATTTCAAAGTCATTGAAAGCAAAAGGCAGTTAATATAACTGAGTAATTTTGTGGTCAAACTATAGGGACTGATCAACATCATTTCAATGTTATTAATTGCTGTTCGACTTTTCCCTTAAGTCCTGTGACCTAATTGACCATTTGCGTAATAGACTAACTTTTGATCTCAACAAAAATTTCATCACAGCTTGAAAGACCATCACAAAATTAGTAATATTCCAAAGTTTCGTTGCGAAATGTTGTAAAATGCGGAAAATGTAGCCTTGCGAAGTTTGAAATTTTCAGTCATTTTAGATTACAAATGGGAAATTGACAGCCCCAAACCCTTCGAGGCTGTCAATTTCCCGTTTGTAATCTAAAATGACTGAAAATTGCAAACTTCGCAAGGCTATATTATCCGCATTTTACAACATTTCGCAACGAAACTTTGGAATATTACTAATTTTGTGATGCTCTTTCAAGCTGTGATGAAATTTTTGTCTAGACTTGTTTAGATCAAAATTTAGTCTATTGCGCAAATGGTCAATTCAATACATCAAAATCAGCCCACCTTTCATTCCGTCCTAGCAAAGTGCCATGCACGTGAACAGCCGCTAAATTAGGCTAGTTTAAGATATGTCGTGACAGTTTTTATGCACTACTTGGCGAGTTACTATATCAATTATTTTATGGCTTTATCAGTTCTGTCCTCCCTTTCGAGGGGGAAGATTTAACGTGCAAAAACTAGGTCATTTTGTCCATTTTACATTTCAGGCAGGGACGAATCTGAATTAATTCTGAATTAATGAGTGACTGCGTAATTTTTTCATGTATATTTTTAAAAAATAATATGGTTTCTCGTGCAATTTGAAAAAAAACATACACTCGTAAGTTTTTCAAAGACTTCAAATAATTTTGATAGTTTTTGAAAAACTCACTCGTGCATATTTTTTTCCAAATTGCACTCGAAACTATACTACTACCTATATACAAAGCTAAAGTGAAAAAATACGTGTTTCTATCATATTTAGAGTCGTTTATGTCGAGAACTATGGTGTGCAATAGAAGGGGAGTATTTCTGCCGAACGAAGTTAACTCCTGCGGCGTTTGGAACCAAGTGTGGGGAAGGACAGGTAGGATCTTTCTGGTATATTATTGCGATTTTCTTCTCCTGATGGATGTGAACGAGTGGATAAGTTATGAATGTTCAGATGAGGGGAAATGTACTCACAACATTCGTAACTCATCTACTCGTTCACATCCATCAGAAGGAGAAAATCGCACTAGCAATCTTTTTACAAAAGTGTAAACGGGCCTTTATATAGCGACGAAAGAAAAATCAACAACATTCATACAGCAATTGTATTTCATGACAAAAACTCTATAGTGTAAAAACGGTTGAACGGTTTCAGCAGCATTGCCTGTTGCCTGCATGTTGTGTATTTTGCTTCTCTTTTACATTCTTTATTTGAACACAAACATGGAAAATCGTAGTTTAGAAACTTTCGAGTTGTACCGCCGTTTTGTTTTATATTTCTGTTGGATTTTTTGTAACTGCCGATCTGCCTCTGGTTGGGTCTAAAGCCCTGGGCAAACTAGGAAACATTGTTGCGGAAACATTGTTTCCTGTCATTGTTTCGCCATGTTTCCCAGAGTGGGCAAACACTGGGAAACATTAGTGAGAAACATAGGGAAACATCAAATGTTTCTGAATTTGCTAGAAAACATTTTTGCTTCTCGGGAAGCAAATTTTGTTTCCGCAACAATGTTTCCACGGGTGGGCAAACAGGGAAACATTTGAGGAAACATCGAGAATCACAAATGTTTCCGCAGCAATGTTTCCTAGTTTGCCCAGGGCTTAATAAACGTATAAAAATTTCATCCACATCTACAAATCCCTTCAAAAATTAATATTTTATTCAATAATTCAAGGAAATTTTCTTATTTTCTTAGTGGTGTATGTATGGTAACTGTGTGAACAGCACGTCGGTGTTAGTAAAACGAGATGGCGGGTGGAGCGCGTGGGGAGCCTGGGGCAAGTGTTCTAGGTCATGTGGTACGGGCGTTTCAACCAATCGCAGACAGTGTAATAATCCAAGGTAAAGATAGTAACTCGGGTCACTTGAAGAGACGAAACTAATTATAAATTTCGAAGGGATCAATTGACCATTTGCGTAATAGACTAAATTTTGATCTAAACAAGTCTAGACAAAAATTTCATCACAGCTTGGAAGAGCATCACAAAATTAGTAATATTCCAAAGTTTCGTTGCGAAATGTTGTAAAATGCGGAAAATATAGCCTTGCGAAGTTTGCAATTTTCAGTCATTTTAGATTACAAACGGGAAATTGACAGCCTCAGAGGGTTTGGGGCTGTCAATTTCCCATTTGTGATCTAAAATGACTGAAAATGGCAAATTTCGCAAGGCTATATTTTCCGCATTTTACAACATTTCGCAACGAAACTTTGGAATATTACTAATTTTGTGATGCTCTTTCAAGCTGTGATGAAATTTCTGTTGAGATTAAAATCTAGTCTATTACGCAAATGGTCAATTGGTGATTCCAGCTTTAGACGAAATTTTGATCTGGACAAGAAAAACGAAACCATTACCATAGCTGGAAAGAGCGTCTTAAAATTAGTAAAATTGCAATGTGCATTAGCGCCAAATCATTATGCGGGGAGTTAGACGGATATCTTAACTGATTAGAAAGATTGTACGATTTTTTCTTTTTTAGTCCCAAGAATGGTGGAAGATATTGTCAAGGGCCGCGGGCAAGATATCGACTGTGTAACCACAAGGTAGATTTTACAAATAAAAATGAAATAACTGCCGGAGTTTATTGTAGAATACTACCTACACCGGAATATCATTACAGCGAATGAACGAATGTTTATTATTTTAGGAATGTCCAGTGGGTTCCAAAGAGATCAGGACAGAACAGTGCGAGTCATTTAACGGTCAGGTGTATCGGAACAAACTATATAACTGGAAACCACTGCTAAGTAAACGTAAGTTGAACGAAATATTTATGTGATACAATCAGAGATGCAAAAAGTATGCGGGTACATGTGGGTGCCATACTGTCATCAGTGAGAAAGGTTTACCATATATGAGGTCAGTGAGGAAGACTTAATGAAGAACACTCTACTTAACACTAACGCCATAAAAAATAAATGAATGAATTCTTGATACTAATCAAAATTTTCCTACATAGATAAGCCATGTGCGCTGTTTTGTACTCCAACAACGGAAGAGAGATTTTCAGTGCAGTTTTCAATTAAAGTTATTGACGGAACGCCATGCATGCCTGGGGCTTCGAACTTATGTGTGGACGGCAAATGCCATGTAAGTATCTTCATTCATTAAAAATTAGGAGAACAAAAGTGAACGGTGATGCTAAACATCGGTGAAGTTAATGATGCTAAACGCACGGAGGATATTTCTAGCTCTATTCTAATCAACACACAAAATATTCCTACATTTGTAGAGGGTGGGTTGCGATAATAAGATTGGATCTGACGCGAAAGAAGACATCTGTGGCGTGTGTAAAGGCAATGGAACAACATGTCGGACGATTGAAGGAATTTTTAATCAGTTGTCCGGATCAGGTTGGTATTGCAGTGACAACTTTATAGTTTGAACAGTGGTTAGTAGACAATAACACAGTATGACAGAGGACTTTTTAGTTACTTTAAGATTTCAAATCGAATGACTGTGGCGTTTAAACCAAGGTGAAATTACTTAGGGACCGGTCATAAAGTAACTGCTAGGGTGGGCCGGAGTGATTTGGGATGTCCACAGTTGGGCCACCAAATAAAAACCCATGTTAATTATATAATATATAAAGATATTAATAATAAAAGTAAACAAAACTATCCAAATTATCAAATGCAAATGATACTATTGGAGCCAGTACTTTGTTTTATACAACATCAAGAAGTGGTCGAATCACAGCAAATACAACCAACTGGAGAGCAGCTCAGTATCGTAATTTGTGATGAATATGTTGTTCAAGCTTGGTGGAATTATGTATGTCAATACAGTTCCGGTGTATATTTACAATGTTCATACCTGCAACTTTTTTTTATAAAAGTGTATTTTCACAATTTAGATTGGGTGGGTGGGTCATGAAATAAATTTGGTAAGATTAGATGAGCTTTGAAATTTTTATCTACATCCTAAGATGGGTCACCAAACTTATTGGCAAAATTTGTGATTTACCTTCAGCCCACCCTAGCAGTTACTTTATGACCAGTCCCTTAAGATGATTCTACTCTGGCTTGCTTCACATCAGACAAGCTAAGAAAGTGCTTGGAAGAATAAAGAGAACTATCATCCAGTATAAATAATTGACTTCGCTGATGATCGTCCAAATTCATTAACGATTGGACAATTTAATAACAGCATACTCTTCCAACTCGTGACTGCAAGGGAATCTTAAGATATATTGTTGCAACATATCCAGATCTCAGCACGTCTAAACAGGGCAGGAAAGAATTTTCTTCTTGGGAGCACAATCTGGAAACAACATTTCCTGCAGACCAACGGAGTATTTTTGTGCTAAATCTGCATGTGCACAAACATATAACATTCAAGGAATAATGTCTGTCAAGCATATGTTGTTGCGCCCATAGTGGGGCATGGGTGTTAAGGTTTCCTTTAAGTTTTCAGTAGCAAATCTTCATTCAAAGAATTTCCTGCAGTTGTTTGACATTTTCTGCGAGCAGTGAGCTATTTTTTTCACCCCTGGTTCTAAATATATCTAATCTCAATTTCAACTTCTCTATAGGTTATGTTGAAGTAGCAGTTATACCCGTTGGTGCCCGTAATATTAAAGTTATGGAAACAAAACCTTGCACAAGTTTTCTTGGTAATAATAATTCATCAATCAAAATCGAAAAAAACTTAATGTTATTGAACTGATGAAACAAATTTTATGATTAAATAATATCATATGTTATCATAAAATGTACTTAACTGCAGTTAATCGTTGTGTGTACACAGTTTATATTTTCGTATTTAATTCTTCAGCTTTGAAAGGCAGTTATGATACCTACTACGTTAATGGCAATTGGAAAATACAGTTGCCTGGTCAGGTCGATGTCGAGGGGACAAAAGTCATCTACGACCGAAAGGGAACATGGGAACGATTGGTCGCTAAAGGTCCAACGAAGGAAGCGCTCCATGTAATGGTAAGAGCCTTATGAAGTGTCAAATTTGAAGAGCTGCGAAGTTTGAGGCCTTGGACAAATACCCTTGTATATCCATTTCATATCAATTATTATCCTAACCAATCCTCTCAACGTTCCCTGTGGAAGGAAACTGAAGGACCCAGAAGAAGCACAATGCTTGTTGAACAACTCTTTCTGGAGGGAGGGAGGGAGGGAGGGGGCTCAACCAAGAGGGGTCTGGGGGCATGCTCCCCCAGAAAAATTTTGCGTTCTTCATCCCCCTTAATTTGAAACGTTTGCTCTGTGTGCAATCGCAAGTAAGAATGAATCGATTCTGTTCCTATTGATACAGTATATACACAATATCAATGTAACAACAAACTCTTATAGATAATATATGTTGATTGTAATTATCTGTACAAGAAAGAAACAAAGTATGAAAAGAAATAGAATCCTCATGGGTGAAGAAATTATTGGGGGCTCCTCGATAATCAAACCCATGACCTCCGATGTGAAAAGCGAGCACTCTGAAAACCAATCTCGTACCCAGAGCAATGCCTGTGCGCGGGCTAGGATGGCATTGGCTCTGGGGAAATTGACAACCGGAACCCCTAGATTTAGGGGTTCCGGTTCTTTGTCGGCATGCACGATTGATAAACGTTAAACCAATCACAGCACAAGAAAAATTCAATTTCCCCAGAGCCAATGCCATCCTAGCCTGCGCACAGGCATTGCTCTGGGTACGAGATTGTCTGAAGACTTGAAGTTTCATCTTTCACAATTATTTTCAACAGCCAAGTCATTTAAGACTTCGATTTTTTTCTAATAGGTATTGTATCATGGCTATAATCTTGGCATCAAATATAAATATTCTCTTCCACTGCCCAACAAATCACAAGAGATGAACAACGTCGAGAAGCTATCTCCAAGCCGTAAGAAACTCAACTATGGTTGGGTGAGGAGAGGATGGCAGAAATGCAGCGTTGTCTGTGGAAATGGTAAATATATATTTTCATAGTCCATAACACCACGATGCTCTGTTATTTTTTTCAGTTTTTCTTGGTTTGTCACCGGTTTCTTGGCAAAACAATGTGAACAGAATCATAGAGTGCCGTTTGTTCCAAAATTTATTAGAAAGCAAGAAAGAACAGACCGAAAATGAAGTGCAAAAGCAGCCAAAAAGAGACAACGGGACAAGAAAGGCAAATCAATTTTCGCACACAAACAAGTTAGAAAAAAGCTACAAAAGCTAAACAAATTTCATTAAGAAAGCACCTTATGCTTAAAATTGAAACTGCTTGACATATCTTCGGCGAAACACGAAAAATATAATGATAATTTCAATGAACAACAGTTAGCAGCAAATGCATGTCAGATAATTTAAATTTCGAAGCTAACTATATGGATTCAAATTTGAAACTACAGGTGTTCAAAAGAGTCGCAAGGAAGAATGTGTCAGTTTTCTCAACGGAAAATTCGAAGCTGTCGACGAAAGATACTGTCGTGGCGCAACCAAACCAAGACAAGAATTCCGCGTCTGTAGTGAACATCCTTGTCCAATATGGTAAGTTTCATTCATATTTCTACATCATCATAAACTAAACTGGCTTTGTTTTTACTAGAGTCATAGGGGATGATACTGTAGTTGTATTCTTCTTAAATTACCTTAAAATAGGATTTGCTGAAATTTGAAATTTTTTCTTAAATCGCCTAAAAATCGCACAAACTCGCATCGCTTAAAAGTTGCATTTTTTCCTTAAATCGCTTAAAGTGCCTAGCTATATCACTTGTGGGACTTTATGGGTTTGAAAAGAGCGTAAAAAATTAGCTAATAAGTTCAAAAGATTTTTTTGATTTGGTGCAATAGTTTTGAGGGTATAGGCCTTAACAACGGACTGTTCCTGAATCCCAGCCTCCTGGAGTCTAAACGCGGCTATTGAATTTTTTCGAAACTGTCCATTGTGCATAGGAGCCTGGGATTCAGGAACTGTACGTAGTTTATTTATAGAGGCCTGTATGTTCGAAATTATTGCACTAAATCAAAAAAAGCTTTTGAATTTATTAACTAACTTTTTACGCTCTTTTCAAATCCATAAAGCTACCACAAGTGATATGGGCGCTTTAAGCTCGCATTATCTCGCAGCAGCGAGTCACCACCGCACGCTGTATAACTTAGGTATCGAGTTAGAAGATTTTCGTGACTTCGATATTCAATCAGTGTTATTTTCAGAATTCGCTATCAAACATAGAGTAGACCTTCAACCCACAGGACCATATCTTTATCAGTACAAATATTGCACATTGCGTACCAACTCTCATCTCTCTCTTAAGGTGGTCGGTTACAAGATGGAACAGATGCAGCCCAAACTGTGGTTCAGGACGTCAACATCGTCGCGTGTTTTGTACGAGACAGTTTCCTAACGGCACGATTGCAAGAACTTCCAATCATATGTGTACCAAAGATAAACCTTCATCAAAACAAAACTGCTATCTAAGGAGCTGTAGGGTGAAGTGGATCACAAATCCATGGTCTAAGGTAGGTCTGAACTTCGTTTCGGACGGGACTATGTTGTACGCATGAAATCGTCAGAGCAAGCGCCAAAATCTCTGAAATCGTGGGTTCGATTCGCGTTGCAGATTTATGACACCTATGGCAAGGGTGGGTAGTAGCGAAGTAGTTGTAGTTCGCTACTGTAGCGAACTACAATTTTCAAGTAGCCAGTAGTTTTTGACTACTTTTTTAAAACAGTAGCTGTAGTTATAGCGAACTACATTTTTCCTAAAAGTAGCCAAGTAGTTGACTATTTTTCAAACAGCAAATCGCTATTCGCTACTTTTTAAAATTGTTAGCAACTTGACAGAATAGAATGATATTGAGACACGGTTTGCTTAAAATCAATACTCAATAGTCAATTTGCACTCTTGAACACTGTAGTGCTTACAAAAATGTTGCTTTGTGTTTACTGTTGTTACTCGTAAGTCCATTTGTTATAGGTTACATTTCAGCCTGAGTTAGTGGATGCTCCAAATAAGCAGTAGCTGTAGTCAGTAGCGAACTACCTTTGTTCAAAAGTAGCAGTAGTTGTAGCTGACTACATATTTTTGAAGTAGCTGTAGTTATAGCGAACTACAAAAAATTTGTAGTCAAACCACCCTTGCACCTATGTGAAAAGACACATTCCGAAAGTCGTGGATTTTCTCCGGGTAGTCCGGTTTCCTCATAGAAGGAATGTTGACAGGGTGGGTTGGGATTAGTCCCTAACAGACCCTTCCACCGTTGCTGAAGATCAGACATGAGTGATGAGTCATAAGGTGCATGACTGCCAAAGGCGCCCTTAGTCTTAGAAAGCCTTCGACTGGATCAGGTTGAGCTGCGTCCTTCACAATGGACCTATTCCCTAATGAACCAAATTTTGATCTAGACAAGTGTAGACAAAAAATTCATCACAGCTTTCAAAGAGCATCACAAAATTAGTAATATTCCAAAGTTTCGATGCAAAATGTTGTAAAATGCGGGTAATATAGCCCTGCGAAGTTTGCCGTTTTTCAGTCATTTTGTATTACGCACGGAAAATTGATACCGCTTTCTGAAAAAAGGTAATTTGCAAAGTTTGCAAATTTTATATATATACTTTTGTATTGCGTGCAGAAATTGCTACCATTTTCGGCCCAAATGTGCTAGCATTTCCGCAACCAAACTTTGCAATTTTAGTATGCTCTTTCTAGCTGTGGTGATTTATTTGCATCTCCTTGCCTAGTTTTAAAATTAGTCTATAATGGGAATTGTCTATTTAAAATCTTGTAATCTTACCTTTCGCTAGTGTTACAGCATCTGTGGCAAGGGTTATCGTTTCCGCAACGTCCACTGTCCTCTCAGAGGTCTTTGTGATCCAAACAGTAAACCTGCAAGTAGGAAACTTTGTTATGGCGAATCATGTTTTAGTTGGAATTCTGGCGAATGGGGAAGGGTAAGTGCAATAATTCTCCCATCCGAGTTCGTGTTATCGATTTTTCATCTTCAATATAATAAGGGCGGCCCATGTCTAGTTTATATTAACTTTGGAAAGTGTAAGGATGGTTTGGAACGCATTGATCGTGTGTTGTAATTTTGTATTGTAGCTGTGTTAAAGTTTGTAACCCTGTCTCTATTCAGATCTTGTATGACGGAACTTTCTCTAAGCCGCATTTTAGTAATTCTGTGTTTGAATAATTAGACCATATAGGCTTAGTACAAAAAGATTATTTTAATAACTACATTTCGGAGTATAACTCCATCTTCAGGTTAAAAAGTAACTGAAGATGAAGTTATACTCCGAAACGTAGTTATTAAAATAATCTTTTTGTACTAAGCCTATATGGTCTAATTATTCAAACACAGAATTCCTGTCTCTATTGTTTTACAATGTCAATGTAATGTGTAGGTAGGACTTAATTTGGGGCTCCTCAGTCCTGTTGTCTGTATACCTTCAATCGTTTTGTTGATTGTAAAGTTTATAAATAAATAAATATTTGCCAAGAATGGAGCCCAAAATTGAAATCTTCATGCTCAAATTAGTCCGTACCAAAAATTTCATGTTTGGACATTGAGATCCATTTTTGACAAAGATCGATAGATAGTGAGAAGCACAAAAATACAACACTCTAAAAAGTTAAAAATTTCCTGGTCAATCTAAAATTAAACCATAGGCCCTCTTGACGGGAATCGAACTTGTGGCCCTGCAATTCCGGTGCAACGCTCCAAGGCCAAAAAAAAATATGTGGGTTTCCGGTTTCCCGACCCTACCTAGCTTTTGGACGTCGAAATCCTAGTGATGGGCGATACTATCGATAAAGTATCGAAATCATCGATACTTACGAAAGTATCGATACTTTCGATACTCGCAAAAAGTATCGGTAATTCGATACCACTTGAGCCTGCGATGTTTTTGGTCAGTATTCCTGACCAATCGGTTAATATTTCATGAAGGCAACAGACTGAAGGCAAAAAATGTTGACATGATGCTGTTCTTAAACAAAAACATGTAGCTAATTAGCAATATATATAAGGAAAACATTGAACACGTTGATATTGTTCAGATTTAAAATCATAATTACAAATGTTATGTGCGATTATTTGGCAGGTACTCCATGTAAAGTATTATTTGACTTGTTAACATTAATGTTCTTGTTTTAAAAGTTCTTTTAATAAATAGAAAAAAATTGAGTATCGGTATCGATTTTGGTATCGGTATCGACCAAAATTCATGGTATCGGACTGGTATCGTATCGAAACCAAAAAAGCTGGTATCGCCCATCACTACGAAATCCCGACCCTAAACTTTTTTATTGGATCATGCTTGTAAGTGTTTCCACTTAGAGAAAAATTTTGTGGAAAATTGAAATTTGAGGCAATATTAGGGAAATTTATCTTTAGATGTGGAAGCACTGACTAAACAAAATGGCGTCCGCTTATTCGGAAAATTAAAAAAAAAAGTTTAAAAAAAACCCGTTGAAACCGACCTACCCTACCTAAGTTTTTATAAGAAGAAACCGGAAACCCACATTTTTTTTTCCAACCAACTGAGCTACAGAGAGACGGCTGCACCGGAATCGCAGGGCCTTACGTTCGATTCCTGCCAGAGGGCCAGTATTTGCATTTTTCGCAACAGCTCCTGGTTAGATCTAATAAATGTACACGGCTAAAAACGCACTGCAGGTTGTTCCAAGTTGATATCGACAGGCGGGAACAATGTTGTGCGGCCAACTGTGAACCAGTGAGCTCCATATATATCTGGAGTAGGAACTTGGTTGCTCAAAGTGAAGCCAGTTTCGTGTTAACCGTGCATACAAAAACAATAGAAAGGGACTGGAACTGATGTCCAACAGCTCCTTCAATTTCCGCCATCTTGGCAAGGAGTGTGTTGAAATTTCGTATTTTGACTTCGATTTAAAGAATAATATTGTGATTTTATGAACTGAAAACTTGATTAGTGATATGGTCCATCAGAAAAAACTGGAATTAGCTGGGGAAAATGGTATAAAAACTGTTTACGACCTTCAGAGCTATTGGACGTCAATGGCCGCCATCTTGGATTTTTTTGGCTTCACTTGGCCTATTGCCAAAACATCAGAAGTTCCTACTCCAGATATATATATATAGAGCTCACTGCTGTGAACAAGTTGTCAACCTAGCCTGCGAACAGGCTCTCAAGCTGAATTGAGAGCCTGCATCGATGACTAATGAATTTGAATATCTGCGTCTCAAATCGTGACGCGAAATTCTCATTGGTCAGATGCTATAATTTATGTTTCCGCTGAGCTCTATATATGTCAACTGCTGAAGCACTATGCATAAAAAACACATTAACTGATCAAATTGGTCTTGGCCATCTTATCTCAAAGCACGAAGTGTTCTGTTTTGAGAAAACAGTATTTAAAACATTTAAACTTTTGCTTGAATATCTTATATTTCGAATAACAGTACAAACTGTACGGTCTAAATTTAGTTTACACGGTCTAAATTTAGTTTGCACGAAAGTTGTAAACAACACCATATAAGGATAGACATTCCATATTTGGAAAAACGAACGTTACGGGGCAGATATTCAAATTCATTAGTCATCGATGCAGGCTCTCAATTCAGCTTGAGAGCCTGTTCGCAGGCTAGTTGTCAACCATGTTGTTCCAAGTTGTCACAGTTGAACAATGCTGTGACAACATGTTGACAATACTGTTCTTCAAACACTCATTAATAATTCATAAGTTTATTGGCAAATCATGTCAACCATAATATGTCACGTGCAGTGGCTTTAAACCTGATAAAACACTCCTAATTAGTATTCTTTATATAAAGAATACTAATAAGGCAGTATCTATTGTAGTCGTGTCCTCATTAGTATTCTTTATATAAAGAATACTAATAAGACAGTATATCTATTGAATTTGTAGTCGTGTTTGAAGC